GTGTAATATTCCTTAATTAATTATTTATTTGCGTGATAGACCGAATGAAAGGACTAGACCCACATTACATACCGTAACCCTATGCCAGTAATCACTAAGCGAGAAAAAACTGATAATTTAAACCAACCGAATACCGAGAAAACTTCCGAAATACCGGAGCGCGAAACAAGTCGACTGTACTTCTTGCTAGGTCGCAGTGGGGTCTAACCACCCATTTTGTTATGGCAAGTTTTGCTATAAGAAATGCTCCTCGTGTTTATTAGCGAAATTCACATCAAAGATTGATTAATTGCGTAGGAAATCAGTTTGGCACGGCATTTGTGACCAGCATACACCTTCCGGTCGTATGAAACAGGTCAAAAACTGTCCAATTCCGCCCTAAATACTCTACACACTCATTTTGCGCCAACTTTTTTTCTCAGTTTGCCTCAAGTGCAGTGGGCACCCGAGCAAAGTCTGAGATCAAATTGATATCTAAATTTGATGTTGTGATTTCGCTGATAATGATTGCTCAGGTTGCTGTCGTTTTGGTCGTTTTAACGGTTAAAATATCAAAATTGAGAGCAAAAAAAATCTTTCTGTGATATCACATTGAAAACTATTTCTGCTATCAGTGAGAGCAAACTGAATACTCAATTTGATATCAATTTTTGCTGTTGATAACAAAACAAGTATTCAATTTGATGTTATGCTAAGGCAATGAAATCAAACCCGCAACAACATATTTTTTAAGAGCAAATGTACAGCAAAATGAAAACAAAATTTGTCAATTGCATAAACTGAAATCAAATTAGGATTTCAGTTTGATGTTGATATCAAATTTGATTTCAATATGCTTTCATTTTGATGCTGGACTTTGCTCGGTCAGTGCCGGCAGCTCGGCCGACAGTGCTAGTCATCGAGCTAAGTTTATTTGTGAATAACTACATGTTTGGCAACCCGGTATTTTGACAGCTGTTTAGTTTTGCTCGCTGAAACCGAGACCAATACTGGGAGTACGTGAACCCAAGCACCGACCTTAAGCAGCGGGATGAATTTTCTTCGATTTGCGAAACGTTCACTGGAAAAAGTTTTCACATAGTTTCTATTAGGAACGCACATAATATTTTTCCAATTACGAAGTTAATGATTTTTATCTGAATATCATATAGCATAATAAATTCTATGAGAGTAATTATATAGATTTCATTGGACACATAACGTTCATGTGTTTTAGTAGTGCAATTTCCAATAAGGGGCTGTTCATAAACTACGTAGACAGTTTTTTTTGGATTATTGACCCCCTCCCCCAGCGTAGACAATTGTCCATACAAAAATTTTAAAATTTGTATGGGCCGTGGATAATTGTCACCCCCCCCCCTAAAATGTCTACGTAATTTATGAATAGCCCCTAATGGGATCACATGAAAGTTATGTGAAATTCACATGGATATTTTCTACTGGTTATGTGATTTATTTTATGAGTGTTGTTGCACCGTTGCAACTTTGTATGCTGTACGCTGTACGATAGAATGGCAGCAGTGGAGGGAAGCAATCAGGCAAAAAATAACAGCTCAGAATCACAACGAGCAGCTTCAGATGGATGGTAAATCTAGCTACTCCAATGTTTTGGTTGGCCATTGACCTTCCGGAAATCAGTCCACAATCAGTTTTACGTAATGTGTGGAACGGATAGATCTCAAATGAGGAAATGTGGATGGGTTTGTAGCTCTGCGTAACGATTTTGATAGCGGAGCTGGAGGGTATCTTGCATCTGGAAAGGATAAGATATTTACCGAGGATTATGCCGATTAGATTTCTTTGAGGTTCTTTTTTTTTATCACAACCGATGCTGTTTCGTGATTACTTCTCACCCCAGCAGGCCTGGGTTCAATCGATTCACCCCTCGAAACATAGGAAAATCCACTAACCCCTCATTTTATCTGTCAAACTTTCATAGCGAATCAAAACAAACATTGCGTAGTACTAGAATTTCGACAAGAATGGGATACGTTAATCGTTTGCTTGCGCAGGGCAGTGCTGCCAGAAACATTAAAGATCATAATAAGTGTGCCCAGGGGAGCCCATATCTGTTGGCACACTGTGCAGAGTGACCAACCCTCTGTAATAATAGAAAAACAAAAATTAGAGTGTTAGCTGCACAGAGCTCGAAGAAGGTCGCGTTGTAGAAGTGACATGTTTGGATTTTGTTTCCGTGTTTTCTTTTGAGGTTTTAATTTGAAAAAAAAAATTGAAGTTTCTTGCGAATATATGGGTTTTTGTATTGGAGTATTGGATCTGAGAGTGTAGGCATTAAAAGTCCATTCATCGGTAGCAGTTTGATCTGATTGGAAATGAGACCCTTCTTTTTTATTTGTTTACATTATATTTCAACTAGAATTCCTAGAAATTTTACCAAATAATGTATCAAAATTTAAATTAGGGAGCTTGCTTAGCTTGGTAGCTGCTGCTTTTACTAACACACTTAGATTTTTTCGCCGAGATGGGCAACACCGAGCAGCTCGGCATTTTATTTTGCTGGATCTCAGTGAAAAACTTGCCGAGATTCAGCTAACAAACGGGAATTTTGCCGAGATCTCAGCTAACAAACATATTTTTTGCTGAATTTCCAGCAAAATAAAATGCCGAGCTGCTCGGTGTTGCCCATCTCGGCAAAAAAATCTAAGTGTGTACTGTTAGAAGACCATGGGTTTACTCCCAAGCTCCTCGAGCATTTCTGGCGAAAATGAGTTATACACTGGAATCGATTGAAAATGTTGTGAAAAATAACAAAACTATGTTGTCCCATCCATTAAAGCCCATGGAGAAAACAATCTTCAACAGTGTTTTTCTCAATTTGCTGTTCTAACGAATGGGACACCTATGCTGAAAAGGGCAGTGTAGTAGTTTCTCATGATTCGGTTTCGATACAGTTATAATTCATGGTCAAAATTTGCTCTTCTCACAAGCAGGGCTGACTTTTTAGTGACTTTGTCACTATTTTGAAGTCACTAAAACGTCACTTTTTACACCAAAAAGTCACTAAAGTCACTATTTCCCTAAAAATAGTCACTAGAGTCACTTTTTCACAACTAAAATAGAGTGAAATGGAAAAAAATATCAACAACATTTTTAAATTGAGTACTTGGCACTAAGGAAGTTATAAAAGAATTCTGGGATGATTTCTGAGGATACATCCAAGAGAACTCTAAAGAGTTCGAAATAAATTCCGAGAAGCATTCCAATGAAATCGGCTTTTGAGGGTTTAATCTCAAAGGAATTCTTCGAAGAGTTTCAATGGTATTCTGAGATGGATTTTTGTTTTGAGAATTCTGAGAAAATACCATGGAAATACTAAGGAGAATACAAATTGAATTTCCAATATAATTCAGCGGAGAAGTCCAAGATTATTCTAAGCAGAAATTCATGATATGTCTTAGGATAATTACATGGAAATTCTAAGGAGAATTCAAGTAAATTCAAAATGGATTTATGGGAAGAATCTTCATGGAAATCCCGGAAGAATAATTAAAAATCGAATATAATCTACTTTAAATAGTTATGTATTATTAATTCATACGTGAATTATTTACATACCATTTACATAGTTGAAGATGATTAACTTCCGTTGTAGTAGAAATTGCTATTTGCTGGCCATCATGAATAATGCAATTAAAAGGAAATCATTCAAATCACTTCAAATGCTCTTTATAAGAGATTCCGTTGAGAGTTTCGATATAATTAGAGAAATTCATGAAATGTGATTTTAAGGTTCAATTTATTTTGATACTTTTTCGAAAAATGCAAGAGCAGTTTTTTTCGACGCATTATTTCAGATTGCTAAACCTTCATTCGCAAACCTAAACCACAATCGGGTAGAGGAGAATTTCCCCTACCTGTTCATTATGTTGGTTTGCCTTTGCGGACTTCGGTTCGCGAGAAAATGGCCTTACAAGGTTTGTTTGCAAAATGGAGTTAAGGCCATTTCAATTGTTGGTCTTGAAATGGCTAAATTGTGTCCAACGTTTCGATGGCGATTAGCACCTTTTTCTGATGCTTACATGCTCACATTCTTCACAGACTTTGAAAAACTACTTAACTTTAAGTTCTACTGTTAACGTCTTGTTGAAAATTTAATTTAGGTTGTCATTGAACTAACGATTACTGTTTATATGTTTTGTTTAACACAGTTTACGTCATTCGTGACTTGTCCGGGGTGAGATTTGAACTCAAAGTTTTCAGCGTGAGAAGCATGGATGGTTTCATTGATAAGCCTAGTGCTTTCGATTAAAAATCTGGACAGGGGGGCCGAATTGTGCAAGTGTATGAAAAAGTTTACAGGATTACATGTGAAACGAAGTTACGATGTCTAAGAACATTCAAAAGTCATAATAATAGGGGTATTCATAACCCCTAGTAAAGGTTTAGACCTTTGTAAATGCGTAATCTGGAGCCTCCCTTAGCTCAGTCGGTAAAGGCGCAGCTACAAAGCAAGACCATGCTGGAGGTGGCTGGGTTCGATTCCCGGTCCGGTCTAGGAATTTTTCGCGTTGGAAAATTTCTCGCCTTCCCTGGGCATATAAGTATGATTAGACTTGCCACACAATCATATCAATGCAAAAATGGTACAGGCATCGAAAGCTCTCAATTAATAACTGTCGAAGTGCATCAAAAACACTAAGTTGAGAGCACGCAATAAGCTAATAGCGATATGCAATAAGCTTGAAATGCGAAGAAGAAGAAGAAGAAGAAATGCGTAATCTCCATTACACTTTAATAGACCTTGATACTTTTACGATAGTGTCAATTTTATACGATGTGCTACACTGCCACTATTCGCATACCATTCCCAGGTTCTAAGGGATTCCGATTCACATGGGACTGTTATGCAAATAGCAACAATAATATATTATTAAATATAATATTAAACAGTATAACATAATATAACGGTTAATGCACGTAGCTCACATTACTACTAAACTTACCGCTAAACTCAAACTCTTCCCTTCCTAACTTTGCAGCAATGAAACCTCACGAGATCCAGGAGAAGCTCGGCCTGACGCGGATACGCGACCGCAACTGGTACGTGCAACCGTCCTGTGCGACGACCGGCGATGGCCTGTACGAAGGCCTGACGTGGCTCACATCGAACCACAAGTTATGAGAGTAATTGTTGCAACAACAACCCAACAACACAGCAGTAGCAACCGCAGCAGCAGCAGCAGTAAATCCCCCCTAAAGTCAGAATACTGTGAGCTCGTGACCTACCACGACTATTTAGTAGAAAAAGAAAGAGCCTCAGCACGCGCACGAGCGAACGGGTGAGCGAGCGAGCAAGCAAGCAAGCAAACAAGCAAACAAGCAAGGAACTAGGTAGAGGAGAGCTTTGCATGTGTGTGTAATGTTGATGAGTGGTGATCGAGCGAGTCCGCAGCGTGATGTTGTGATGTTGCCAATCCTTATATTCCTAATGTTACATGAAACGCACTCCGGCGTTCCCTCCAGAAATGAAACAAACAACAACTCTACTACCTACTACTATTACTACACTAATTGCTACTACTACCGGGTACGCTAAATACAATTATCATTTTTGTTTTTGGGTTTTTACACACTTCCGCATATGCAGAAATATATCGCATATTTTAACCTTTCTCAACATGTTGGAGAAAGGCATAAAACCGAAACGACGGGTGTCATCGTTATCGAAATATGCACAGATGTCACAGAACGAACAAGCTTAAGTCAACCGAAGACGCCAAGAGGGAAACACTGAGGTAAAATGAGCAGAAGCATGTTGTTATCGTAAGAATCTTTAATCCGGAAAAAGCTGTACTCATCTTACTCTTGTGCTAACTTCACCAATTCCAAGTCAGTCCAGGCGAGAGCGCAGCAGCAGTTCACTCATTACCTGTTAATCTTGTTCAGTAGAGTAAAAGTTTGTTGGAAGCCTGGACGAACCGTAAAAAAAAAAGTCAATAGGAAAATCCCACTGAACCCAGTGGAGATTTTGAAAAGCCAGCCCCGAGGAATTTGTGCGAGTAACGACACTACAAAGTCCGGAAGTGGCAGCGTGTTCAAACGATAAAAGAGAAGCAAAACGAAAAACTAACAAACATACCAAGAAAACCTAAAAGAAGAACGAGGTAGTCGAGTAAAATAGGAGGGACATTTTATTTGTATATATGATCGAGGGGTAAACTAATCTAATTGATTTTTGCAAAACAAAGCTTGAAGAAAGTATGAAAATATGATTATTTTTTAAGCAATTGTATGAAAGACGGGGAAACCGGCAAGCTGCGAGTGAATATAACTTGATAAGCAAAAAAAAAAGCACTAAGCAGAAAACGAAAAACAAGCAAACAAGAATCATTCATACAGGCGATATTGTACATATTATAAATGGCAGATAATACAAAGTAAATCAATACTAGAAGGAAACAGAAAACAGCAAAAACAAATAGGGAAATATTGATAAAACAATTATGCAACGCACCCGACTAACAATTACAACAATAGCAGAGAAATCATCCGCACTCACACCGACACATACTACACGATCCCCTTCCTCCGTCTAGAAAAGAGAGCATTGAATTGCAATTATTAACTAGAGTTATCGATACTAAAACGAAAGCAAATTTGCAAATGTTGTAAAATTCAAACCAAGAAATCCGTGCGTGTGTGCGCTCCCATGTGTGTGTGCGCGAGTGTGTGTGTGATCGTTTGCTGCCTGTTTGTGTGCGTGCGCTAGTGTGAGCTTTAGAGCGCGTTTTATTCATGTTGATTATTATTTTTTCCATAATAGCATTGAATTACTAGCCCCTACCTTTTCATCGCGCCTGATTATTTATGTTGAAGATATCGATTGCCTCATGTTTATAGTAAGTCTTATTTTCTTGGGTTCTTGTCATCGTACAGATTTTTTTTATTGCTATTTTGCGTATGAAAATGAAAGGGAGAGAAGGAAATACAGATGAAGCAAATTATTTTCCTTGTCATTCTCGTGACTAGTTGTTTATAATTATTTCAAATTGTGTTAGGAAAGGCGACAGTTTGAAGGGTAAACGAAGAGAACAGGTGTAAAGAAAGGTACGACGTATGACTCACAGCAGTTGAGAGGGTTGAAGCAAAATATAATGCAGAAGAAATGGAATAAACAAAAAAAATTGAAGCATAGGGAAAATCGAAAGGAAACATTGAACAATGCTGACTTGTTGAAAAAGGAAGGAACACATGAAAACACAGTAAAGAAAATATTATTAGAAATGTATTTTAGCATTTATAGCGAACAAGAAAAACAAGTGAAAAACAGATTCAATAAAACTAGAAATCTACATCTCAAATGGACCAAGAATGTTTTATTTATCTCCCAAATCCTTGCGCAAAGCTATCTTCTCCCTCCCTATTCTGCGAGTCGAGTGACTCCCTGTTACTAGTGATCACGCCGTGGTGACGTGATTGCCCTTCTCAATATGAATGCGGGCGATGGATCTTAGGTGTGCATGGTTGTTAGTAAATCACCGTTCACCTCCATGAAAAACTTTGTCACAGTAATATCCGAGAAAAGAACCGCGCCTCGATGTAAAGGCTTATAATAATGAGCTGCAGGTGGCAGCACCTGGCATTGACTATCGGACTGATTCTTATGTTCAGACTGCCATTTATAACATGTTGTAAGCCTATCTTGATGACATTTTTCGTGTCGATATTACAACATGTTTTAAATCTGTAGTCGTTCATGTTTATCAAATATATTTATCATGTTGCAAAGTGGATGCAATGTCGAAATAAAAAAATAAATGTTCGGATTGAAAAACCGTATGGTATTCGAGTCGTTACGGTACATGTCCAGCGTATCGCGAATTTGTTCAAGTTTGAGATCTCACAAGTCTCAATCCAAGTCACACAATTCTGAAGATTAAGTATGTATTTTTAATATTTCTCTTATGCCTGAATTACCTTAATAATATTGTTGCATCTCTTCATAGGATTTCTTTTGATATTTTCCAAAAATTGTCTCAATAATAACCTTGGGACCCGCCTGGTATTTTCTTTAAATATCCCATTCTTCACTTTACAATTTTCTCCCATTACTGAATCATATTAGTAAGAACTTGCTTAATTTCTTATTTCTAATTCTCTTGAATAATTTGATACCTAATAGTATACCTATCGGAATATCCATGCAGTTCTACACAGGTAGAATTGCCTTTGAATTCTTTTCAGAATTATCTTTGGATTCTCCTCAGAATTTTCCTGTACTTTTTTCTACGATCCCTCCTAGAAGTATTCTCTTCAGTATTCATCCAAAATTGCCATCGTAATTGCATCAACATTCTCTTTGAAGTCTTATTTAGAAATTTAGAATTTTCCTTATAATTCCCTTGAAACTACCCTTATAATTGTAGTTCACCTTAGAATATCCGTGGAACTTTCCTCAGCCCCAGATTCCCTTTACAGTATTATCTTGAAAATCTCTCTTTTCTCCAAATTATGTTGAAATTCTTCATAGAATTCGCCCGTTATTCTCCTTACTCAAGCAATATTGCAAACTTTATCAAGGTTTTAAAGCATTCTATAAGTCTAAATTATGGTCTACATAACCTTCATAAAACCAAGAAAGTTTCTTAGGTAAGCTTTGCGTACCTAAGCTTTTTTGCCTAAAATATTATGAACTGCTCCCATTTCGTCATTTCTTGGCCGATTTGGATGAAATAGCTTCCAATCGATCGCTAATTGCTTCAACTTCTTGAAAAGTTGTGCATAGTCTTTTTTGCATTAGCTTTTTTTATATTTTTGATCCCAGGTATTTTTTAAATATTTTAAGAACTCACCAAGAATTGCGCTCAACCTTACTAAAAGCAAAAATTAGAACCATCGATAGGAAGTTGTTTCCTCTAAATCAGTCAAGAAATGATGAAATGGGAGTAATATCTCATTTTTAGGCGAAAAAGCTTAGGTAAGCATGGCTTGAACTACCTGCAACTCCACTCATATATTCTAATACTATTTCCTATGGATTCCCTAAGTAATCTCCCTCTAAAATGCTGTCGACAATTTTATATGTATTCTCCTATAAATTCCTTTGGAACTATCTTCATATTCTGATTCCCTTCGAATTATCATCACAATTATCTTGGAATTCATGTATGAATTTTCATAGGATTCTGAATCCTTTCTTAGAAATGTCATTAACATTTGTTTGGAATCATCTTCAGAATTCATTATGAGTTCTACTGTTGAGTTCTTTTGAAATGCTAGAGTTATAACACCGACAAACCGACATGACACTTAATTCTGACTCATGCCCGAAAATCGTAAATGGCCGATTTAAATGTGCAGTGTCAAAACCATAGGATTTTTTGACCTAGATAAAAATAATTTGTCCAGAATAGATCAGACACGAACCAATTCATAACTTTTCCATGCGGTTTCATGGCTTAGCTAAATATTTCCCGCGAACACGGAGCCAGATGTCAGTAGTGTGCTTTGGTCAGAAATTTTATTGTTTTTGCTGTGGTCATTCATCAACTGCTCCCAGCAAGATGATCGCACAATCGGTCAAAAAGGCGAGCCCCCAAACAGGAAGATTTTTTTTTATATCTTTATTAAGGAGGCTTTTAGCCGTTGGCTGGCTCGTCTCCGAGAACAAACAGGAAGATGCCCCAATGAGTGGGGAAAAGAGCCCGCCCTTTATCCCCGAATTCCAGCCCTCCCTTATGCGAGTCGATTGAAATCTGACGAACATAAATGGGGGCAAGTTGATTCTTAAAATAGAAGCGTAGATGCATAGCTGAAGGATAAGATAAAAGAGAGTCAAAGCGTCAAAGGTGTTGACATGCAGAATTAGAAGGCACCGAGATTTAATGCGTATGTTTAAATATCGGCAGAGATATACGCGAAAAACCTTTACGTGTTTTTTAAAGGGTGATCCAAAACCAAATATTTGTCCAGAATAGATCAGACACGAACCAATTCATAACTTTTGCATGCTTTTAGTAACGGTCAGTTTGGAGCAATTCAAGAAAGATAAAAATGTGAAAAAATTGGGTAAATGTATGGGGTAAAGTGCCTGATACCAACACTTGTTCTCCGCCCTGGGACATGGGGCGGACCGTAATTTAGTTGATGTGCTCGTGCAAAATAAATCAATATAGGGGAAATGGATGTAATGCCGGCCTTAATGCCTCTAATTTGAGCTTATGCATACATTCAGCAATCGACTAAATCTTCAATAGTGACCAAAAAATCCATTAGTACCGTCTCAATGACGCGTTCATCTAGATAAAATTGATAAATAGCGGATTTTTAGCGGTGGGCCCAATCTTAGATGCATAGGCCAACATTGGAGCCATTCCCAACAAACAATTCAGAGTCACAAATAAGCATATAGGGGAAATGGCTCTAATGTTGGCCTATGGATCTAAGATCGCTAAAAATAATTTGAATAAAAAAGGTTCTCGACATACCTTATGCAACACCAAATATTTCGATGTTGTGGTTGAATAAATTCTCCAGATTTGAGTGAACAAAGCCTGAACAGAAGTTATTATTAAAAATAGTACAAGTATTATTAAGCATGCAGTTGAATAAAATCGTCAAGAAGTCGTTTCTTCAATAGGCAATTGCTTGTTGGGTTTCCCCTACATATAGGGGAAATGTCTCTAATGTTAGCCTATGGATCTAAGTTTGGGCCCATCGCTAAAAATCTGCTATTTATCAATTTTATCTATGTGAACGCGTTATTGGGGCGTTACTAATGGATATTTTTGGTTGCTATTGAAAATTTAGTCGATTGCTGAATTTATGTATGGGCCCAAATTAGGGACACTTAGGCCGACATTATCTGCATTTCCCCTATCTGTTACGAGCTAGAGCCAGTGATGGAAATCAAGCGAGCATGATCCGATTTCCAGTTTGTCGTAAACTGTACAGATCGTGATCTGTACAAACTACGACAAACGATTAGTCCTCTTCCACATTGAACATACGTTATTGCGTAGGCAACTCACAGATAACAAATACATTGTTAGACTGAGTCAAGCTCAGAGAAGTGAGTTACCCTTTTCGCTCATTATATCCTATGAGAAGAGGTGACAATACGGGGGCAAAAATGGACCACTTTTCTGTCAAACGTGAACCAGCTCGTGATTGGCTGATTTGATGTGCGTAAGATAGAGATAGACATAGATAAAGATAGAGATAGAAATTAAAGAGTAAGAAGCCAATTGTCACCTCTTCCTCTTAGATTATATCCACAAATCGCAACATATGCTTATTCGCCTTGACACCAGTCCCGAAGTGACGTTTCTTCACACACATTTTGACAGTTCCTTATGGGGTTTTGCGTTGGAGTGAAAGAATAAGGAAAAGTCCACCATGTTTCACACATAGACGTATTGTCAATTTTCCTTACAATATTATCAATACATAAATATTGACAACATTAATGACAACACGCTAAAGCGCTCGTTACACGGGTCAATATATTGACAGTAAATTGACATACTGACAATATTATTGAAATGGTAATATTGATGACGATGGATTGATGACGAGTATTGTTGAAAAACTGATTTTCATTTCACTTTGTCAATATTCTTCCCCTACCCAAGAGGAGGGAGAACGTATGTCATTTAGATGGACTGACTCACACAGCACCTTCGCGCATTCAGCGAGGCATGCAGTGTTGCCATTTGTTTTAATCTTCGAGTGTGATTTAAAATCAATTTCAAACTAAATAAAAAATGTATCTTTTTATAGTCACCAATCACCCGTTTCGTTTAAAAGGATGTACATATTTTACAAAATCACAAGCAAAATCATGTTATTTTTTACTTTAAAGTAAAATAAATACTATCAGCGTTTCACATCCCAAGTAACATTGCAAGTTTTATCACGGTTTTAAAGCATGCTATAAGTCTAATTCATAGTCTACAGAACCCCCATAAAACCCTAATTGTTACTTGGGACACCTACCCGTAACGTAAATTAATTATTATATGCATGATTTTCATTTTTGAATATTTACCAAAACATCAGCATGCTAGTTTTTATTTGGGAAACTGCGTACCGTGAACGCGGGTTATTCCACACGTGTAATAATTCCGCGCACTCGACAATCGATTTGATAAAATTCGATTAATTTGGAAGTACATGTCATGTTATCTGTTGCCCTGTGTATTTTCTGTGTCCTGTCAAACAGTTACAACATTTGGTAAACCAATTGGTATTTGAATGACAAATCCGTGGAATTACAGCTAACGCAGAATAACCCACGTTCACGGCACATCCAATGTTAATTAATAAACTATATGTGTGGAAATTAATACAGTTTATATGA